GAAATTCCATGAGAGAAGGTATATAAAGCAGGAACATTAGAAAGGAAAAATGAACTCTCAGAAAAAAGTGGTTACACTGAGCACTGAAGTGCCTTTGAATTTTATTTGTAACTGAAAGGCATCTCAGAGAGGTCTATGTCAACCTTCTCCTTTTATAACAGAGAAAACCAAAGACCCTGAAAGGTAAAATGACCTGTCAAACATCACATAGAAGACCCTAGCTCCTAATTTCTCTCATTCTCTCACCTCTTGCCCCATATAATGTTAAGGCTCACTGAACTGAGGAAGATCCTCTTCTTCACGTCCAGTGGATGTTAGAGGACAAGTTCCTAATAATGTTGTCATGTCTAACACAAGAGAAATGTATTCCTAGCATTTCAAGGAAAAATCCCAAAGAAAAATTATTGTACATAGTGTAGGTATTTTCGATATAGTATTTATCCTAATTATTATTAATATTCTTTAGTTCTCTGGTATTATTAGCCTAATCTTATAATCTAAGTATATTATGGGTTGAATTTGGTAGGCTGTCTGTGAATCTAACCACTAAGCATACTGTTTTTCAGAAAGTTCCAAGTTCTAAACCATTTTTCCAAGTTTTAAAATATAGATCTCATGCTAAATTAGGAACCAGCAATACACAAAGACTGAAAATTATAAAGTAAATATGATAAGTTAAAAATACAAGACTCTTTACGTTATAAAAAAACTCCACCTCAGAAGTCATTTATTTTTAAAACTCAGTATTCAGGCACATTTAGCACAGGCTGTAATTTACTTACATCTTTTTAAATAATATTTCACTAAAAAACTGAAGTAAAAAAGAATCAAACACATTTCTATACTCATCTAATTTAGGAAAACAACAACAAAAAACCTTTACTGTACTTTTTCATGTAGTGACCTATAAGAGGTAAGAAAATTAATCATTTTATAAATGAAAGGTTGACCTCATATATATTATGCAGTATTTAGTGCTCTTTCCAAAAATGTGTGGTAAAGGAATTCTATTTGAACAGATAAATAAAGTTCAAAGCACTTTCCAAACATTTTGTCTTTTCTCCTGAGATAAAACTACGTTTCATGAGTTAAAATTTGTTTGATAAATCTATTTTTTAAAATTTCTACTCAGTATATCATATCAATGGATACCCTTCACTCATTCATTTTATTTGTCCAGCAACAACAAAAACAAGTCCCTACTATTTGCTAAACCCTATGCTAGCAATTTTGGATTTATGACAATAAACATTAGCTTAGTTCCTGTCTTCAAGAACTTAGAAGAACCTTTAATTAGCTGTATTTACCCAAGAGACAATGACAGCTGAATTTTAAGTTGGTCATTTGAGAAAACATTAAAAATGTAATCAAATTCATTCTCAAAAAAAACAAACAAACTATACAATAGTAATTTTAATGACATTTCAATAAACTTATCATCTATATGAAGTTTCCCCACTAAGCTCTGGTAAAATACAACTTTGGTAGAAGTCATAATAACATAATATTCTCATAGTAGCTTTCACTATAAAAATAAACTGAGTTAATAATACTCCAATAAGGAAATCAAAAGCTACTAATACCATTTCTTTCATAATGAAAACCAAACACTTGGAAATGGATAGCTTAACCTATTCTGAAAATAAAGCAAAATGTATAATTAAATGTAATATTACAGATTACCACATTATGTCTAAATATGTGTTTATTTACAAGCCTGAATAATAAAACTCTGTATCATACCTTACAAATGATCACAAGTATGTACTATGGATCATGTTATCTGCAAATTTTTCAATAAAAAGGGCCTTAACGTTTTTTGTAAAAATTTTTTTACAAACTTAATTCAAGATTGTATTTGTTTATTACCAAGTCGTATAACTTTTATCATCAATATAAATGATACTTACATTTACAACTATATATAGGTACTAACTATAATGTTTATTAAATTTACAATTATTAAAAATTCTTGATGGATGAGAAACATTTTTCAATTTAGAGCCATACATCTCCAAAGCAAAATTCAATGTAAATCAGCCATTCTGACATGCCATGGAATATCCTGACATTTTTTTCCTTGTGTTTTACACTGAAATATTTTCATCATCTATCAGCTAAAATATTTAAATTTTCTTTAAAAGCATTATGAAAACATCTTTACTGAATTTATGCATACTACTCAGTGGCATAAATAAGTATTTCCACCATTTGCATATAAGGAAACCAAGGCACAGAGGTGTCCATTTTGTAGATTGCAAGGTCATTTTCTAACCAAGCAACTGATCCTACACCATCAAGTGATATTATATGTGCGCCACTTCCAAAGGACATAAAACAATTACTGTACCTTAAATCAATTGCCTCTGCAATGCCTATGTGCAATTGTTTTATCAAGAGGGTTATGGCAACAAGCTTAAAGGAGAAAAGCTGGAAGGGGAGGATTACAAAAAAAAAAAAAAGGAACACTTATTTTTGGTAGTGAATCATTTATTTTTAAGTAATGAAAGGCAAACAGTTTTTAACATAATAATCAAGTAACCAACAGTTGTTTCTTCTGTTTTCAAAAAATATTTCATCTTTCAGGTAGATCATGCAAAATTGGAGCCTGCCCATCCTCGTAGAAAGAAGTTCGAAAAAAATGAGAAAAATTCTTAACAATTAATACATGATATGGCAAAGACTGAAAAAAAAATTTAGAGAAATTAGCGAATGCTCATTATGGCAGTTAAAACCCCACCTAAAATATTAGATGCTTCCTTTCATTCAACTGAAGGCTATGATTACCAGTAAAATATTCCATTACTGAAAAATAAAGAAATACAAAACTTTTCTCATTCAAAACTTGAATGAGTACTTTATTCAAATATCCGCCATAAATAAAAATACTTTCCTAACAGAAACTTAGATACGGAAAAAACTGTTCCTGAGAGTTCAAAGACAGACTGCATTTGTAATTATGATACAGTGCTATCAACAATTAGAAAGATGAAAGTTACCTATCACATATGTTAAATTTAGGAACATTAGATGGGTTGAATAACCAATAAATTACCGGACAAAAAAATAAGACTTAACTAATAGGTGAATCTAACACCAAAGAAAAAATTAAATCATAATCCAAAGCACACGTTATACAGAAAAGAATAGGATTAGACTGAGTCGTATTAAAGTACCTAGTCTAGCTGGGGATTAGTTAATTAATCGGCTCTAGGACAGGTTGTTAATGTTCAGGTCAGATGTGCTTTCTTTTCATCATTATTCCAGTTCCTCATCCGCCAAGTGCAAGCAAGAGAAGGCGTCAGAGTACCGAAGCTAGGGGGCATGCTGTAGCAAGGGGAAAAGAAAAATGGGAAAGGTGCAATGGATGCTGCATAGTTGAATAATTATCTGGGTGGCACAATGGGCGAGTCCTGCCGACAACGGAGCTGAGTAAGCGGCTCCCTAACTCTGCCCCAGGCACTCCCCCATTACCAGGCATCAGAGGCGACCGCCCCGCTTCGCCCCCCCCACCTCCCTTCGGGGGAAGAAAGGGATCCCCGCACTCGCTTTACCTTTATGGCTGTAATATAAAGACGCGCGGCGCAAACACGCACACAAGCCGGCTTTACGGAGCCTCCCGCACGTAGCGCGAGCGGGGGCTTCGCTGCCACCCGGTGCTGCAGCCGCCCCCAGAGCGAGGCGGCATGGGGGTGGCCGACGGGGCAGGGACGCTCAGGCGGTGGCACCCCAGGTGAGACCCGCAGTCTCCCCGCCTAGGGCAGCATCGGGCGGTCCCTGCAACCGAGACCCAGGCGCGCCGGCCAGCCGTCTGCCTCGGCACCCAGCCCGGCAGGCGGGTGGGCGGCCAGAGCTCTGGAAACCCGCGAATGGGGGTGGGGGCCGGCGCGGGGGAGGCGCGCCCATCCCCGTCACCTTTGCCGGGCGAGAGCGCCACACACACCTCCATCCGTTCTGGCCAGTGAGAAAGAGTTCCTCTCCCAGCACCCTGTCCCCACCAAAAAACAATTCCTGAGAGACTCGCGCTCACCGTGAAATCATGGGGGGCTCCTGCCTTACCCCTTCTTCATGCTTCGGCGGCGGCCGCCGGTCCCCTTCAGCTCCCGGGACTCCACCTAGAGCCTCCAGGAGCGACAGGCTCCGGAGTGGAATCCGCTCCGGGCAGCGGCCCAGGCACCGGGCTATTGGGAACGCCGCCTGCGGCGCCCGCCGGTCGCCGGACCCACCGTGTGCTCGACGCGCGAGCGAACAACACCGCGAGCCGCCGCCGCCCCCCACCCGCCCCCTCCCCGCGCGCGACGCTCCACAACTGGGCGCGGAGATCCGCTCCTGAAGCAGGGGGAACCGCTGGACCTCGCCACCTAATCTCCCATCCTTTCCATCAGGAGCTGTTCTCCACCACTCAAGGTCTTCCAATTTAAGATTCTCACTTTCCTCTTCAGCTCCCAGAGCCCAGGTGCAGCCGTGGTGGAAAACTCAGCCTCCGCCCACTCACCCAACAGAGGGAATGAATACGGCTCTCCCCCCCATTTCCTGAGGCTGTATGGTATTGCCCAATCTCCAATTTGGGGGAAGGGGACTGAGAGAACAGTGCTTGGCCTGGGAGTGAGGGAAGATGATAGCCAATTGAATGAACCATCCATTCAGGGGCGTGGTCAAAGAGAGGCCTGCCCAGTTCGCCCCGCCCCTCTCACCAAACTACACTTCCCATTATGCCTCTTCCACTTCCCGCCGCGCTGAACGCCGGGAGTGTTGGACCTCGTGACCTCAGGGTATTTCGGAACTCGTAGTCTTCAATCCAGCCGAATAGGTCCTGAAAGTTATAAGGTAACACAATTCTCTCTACTTCCCTAGATAAACATTTTCGTATTCTGCGTTCTCTTATATTTATTCAAATACTAATTGATTATAGCTTAAAGACGTCGTAAATGAACTCTTAGCAAAGGAAGTAAGTAATGTGTGTCATGCTAATCTGTCAGGACCTGGAAGCCGCTTCTTCCGCCGGGGCCTGGTCTCCGCAGAGGATCGGTTGCAGTCATGTCGGCTGCGATTGCATCTTTGGCTGCGTCCTATGGTTCGGGTTCAGGGTCCGAATCGGACTCGGACAGTGAGGGTGGACGGTGTTCACTGCCAGCTTCCGACTCCCTCATGCACTTGACTAAATCAGCTTCGGCCAAGCCGTCTCTGGCAGTGGCGGTGGACTCGGCTCCGGAGGTGGCAGTTAAGGTAAGCGCTGTGGCCACTGATGCAGTGCGGGACTTTGCTTCTGCTCCAAAATTCGGCAGTCGCTTGTTAGACTCCGGGTTACCGCTGCCTCAGTGCTGAGATACAAGTTGCTAACGCTCGGGTCTCTTCTCCTTACCTGCATCTTCCTTGGGAGAAGCCGGGACTTGAAAGTTCAGGACAGTTCTCCACTGCTCCCCGCTGTCTTCTCCTTCCATCGAGCCAGTGGGAAGGGCGAGGGGGAGGTGGTGAAACTTTAATTTATTATGATTAGGATGTGGCCTGTGTAGAGCAGGTGTAAAACAGACACTTCCCAAACCAGACTATGTACTCTGACTTGAAGAGAGCAGTGTCCCGTCCTTGGTTTGTTTTGAAGTTAGAACTAGATTCTGGTTACGGCTCCACCACTTCTGCGAACTTCGGCAAGTTATACAACCTCCTGTGTTTCATTACCTGTGCAATAGAGATTATTTTTAAAGTATGTATCTGTATGAGGGTTTTATGTAAGTGAAATGATACAAATGTAGCTTATAGCGCAGACTCTGGTATCTAATAAAAGTGCAATAATGTTAGTTTAGCCCTTGTGATTATATATGTCAGTACAGCAAGAAAAGGCCTTGGGGTTAAGAAACAGCGTGCTTGATCCCAGTTGAGAAGGGTGATAGAGGGAGAAAACGGATTGCATAGCTCATTCAGCTAATATTTACGGAAGACGTGTTATTTGCCAGGAACTACTCTAGGGGCTGAAGACACAGAGGCCAAGGAGCCAGACATCTTTGCCATCATGATGCATACATGCTAGTGGAAGAGACAGCCAATGAAATGTGAGCAAGTAAAGCGGTTGCAGATTCAATTGAGTACTATGAATGGAAAAAAAAAAAGTTCTGTGATAGAGAATTAAGTAGGAGTATGACTTCCATAGATGGGTCAGGGAAGTCTTCTCTGTAAAAGCAGCTTTGAAGAAGACGAAGCCAGCCATGTGCAAGATAAGGCAAGAGTTTCCAGACAAAGGAAACTTTGCAAGAAAGTTAAAGCAAACAAAGCAAGTTTTGAGATGACAAGGAGCTTAGTGTGTTTGAAGATCTGAGGAAAGGTTGGCATGTCTAGAACCAGGGAAAAACACCTGCCAATTGGTAATATAGGCCCAGTAGAGCCTAATGGGGGTGACCAGAAGCTCAAGATGTGCTGGTGGGAAACAGTGTACAAAAACTGCTTTGCATGTAAGATGTTTCCTATACAATTGTCAAAACAATTTGTTGTATATCAGAAAATAATATAACATGTATGCTAATTATACTTCAATTAAAAAAAAAAAATCAAACCAAGAAAAAGATGTTCCCAAGTCTAGTGTTATAATTTTAAGTCTTTTGCAAACTTTCACGAATTTTACTTTTTATTAATAAAGCGGTATGAAAGAATGCTTAGAATCCTATCTTTATAACAAAACAAACTCCCCAAACTTGTATCACTCCAGCAACCTCCTGACTCCTCATTCTTTTCACAGCTTAACTTTTTCGAGCTCTCACTTCATCTCATTTTCTCCTCAAGCCAGTACAACCTAGCCCTGGCCTCTTGGGAAACTACCTACTCTCCCTGAGAAAGGTGAGAACGTGTCAGGTTCTGCTGTCTGACTTGAATATCTGCATCAAATGACACTATTCTTGTTTCCCGAAAGTTGCTTTCCCTCTGGCTTCCATAAGGCCATCCTCAGTCTTCTGATCCCCTGTTCTTCTGTCCTCCCTTGTGCATTGGGGTTTCCTGGGACCCGTCCCTTAGTCCCCCTTGCACGCCTCATACTCTCTCATGCCTTCAACTTGAGTCTGTGCTTCTGATGACTCACAGGTGAACACTGTGAAGTGAAAGGCTCTGGAATCAAGACTATCAGGATTCAAATCCTGCCTACAGCACTTACCCAAATGGTGACCCTGGGTAACTTGGATAAGTAACTTGGATAAGTTACTTTAAGTGCTCTGTGCCTAGGGTTTTTTCTTATCTGTAAAGTCGGGATGACACTAATACCTGTCTCGAAGATAGGCTTGTCACAAAGCACATTAAGCACTTACAATAGTGTCAGACACCCCGTCCTTATTATTTCCATTTCTAATCTCTTTGCTAGCTCCAGAACTGTTACACTTCTTACTCAGGATGGTACTCAGGCACCTCCAATCCATTGTGCTGAAAAATTAACAATTTTTCTTCCCCCTCAAGATCCACCTCACCTGTTTTTCCCATTTTGGTTAATGATCTCCCAACCCCCGTATTAGTCCAAGCCAAAAACAGAAGCGTCTTCCTTTTCCTTCTTCCTCAGCCCCTGAAGCTTGTCATTCAGAGAGTTGTAACGTTCCTCAAATTAATTTCTTCCTCTCCACTTTCACTGATACAGCCTTACTTTATATCTTCTTTACTTCTCCCAGGAGTCATTCTTGATGTTCCTTTCTCTTTCAACCGCTACTCTTGGGTGGTGGGTCCTATCATTGTGACACAATGACAGTTGTCAAATATTTTATTTCAGATTCTTATCATTTCTATCTAATGCAAGACAATTATAATAACCCTCTAACTGGTCTTTCTACTTTTTCCTTCTTGTTTCCTAGTTCCGTATCCCATTCTTTCCTTCACAGTGTGCCCAGAGTCATCTTTGTAAATTCCAGTGTTGTACCACTTCTCTGCCCAAAGATACCATGTTGCTACTGGATAATTTCCAAGTTCCTGTGTAACATGAGGCCTGCCATTTTCCCATGCTGAACTCTCTATAAAGCCCCAAAGCCTTTTTTTTTTTTTTTTTTCCCTCTCTAGATTTTTTTGGCCATACAAGTCTCTCTGCTTGGAAATCTCTTTCCTCATGCCTTGTGCTCCCTCCGCCTCCAAGTTCTGTCCTTCAGTCTCAGTGCACACGTTCCCTCCTCTGTCCAAGCAGCCCCCTTTGTACCTCAGTCGTAGCACTTGCTGCATTGCTGTGACTTGTTCACTTTTTCTTTACCCTGGACTATTGTCAGACCCTAGGGACCAGACATGGTTGTGTCTATTTTCATGTCTCCTATGCCTAGTATACCAGATTAAGGGAAATATATTTGGTGAGAGAATGAATGAAAGAGTAAGTGAAAAAGAAAGTCTTGAGAAAGCATGTACATCGAGAATCAATGTACACTTATTGGGTGGGGGTGATGGAATGTCTCTAGAACTCAGTTCAATCAACTCAAGTGTGAAGTAAAATAATCTGGGAAGAGAGGTCACATAAAGCACCAGAGGTCCATTAGAAGCAGAGCACACAACTGGGGCTACACCCCCCCAGTTGATGAAGGTTCTATGATGAGAGAATAAGGGACATTAATTATCATTTGTTTGTGAACCAACACTTGTATGCAAAACAAACAAAACCTTACACATAGTAAATGTAATGATAGAGAAATGACCAAGGGAGGAGATGTGAAGCATGCAGATATGATCATCTGTATTTGACTAACTATTGTGACGAATCGCAAGCATTTTGACAAGATTATAAACGTACTCAGTGTTTTTAATATTCCATTTCCCTGAACACTAATGAGATTGAACATCTTTTCATATATGTTATTGGTGATTAGACTTTTTTTTCTTTTTGAAGTGACTTGGGTTGTCTTTTGACTTGTAGGAGATCTTTGTATATCTGCCTAATATCCTTTGTCAGTTATATGTACTGCAAATATCTTTTCTGGCTTGTGGCTTGTCTCCTCACTTCCTTCACTGTCATGATAAATAGTTGTTTACTTGTCTAGTCTTATCAAGTTAGCCTTTTATGAATTGTGTTTCTTGTTTGAGAAATCCTTTCTTATCCCAAAGTCATAAGAATTTTCTATTTTGTTTTTTGAAAGCACTAGATTTTTGCTTTTTTACATTTAAGTCATAAATCCACAGGGATTTAATTATTGTGTATGGTGTGAACATTTTTAATAATATGGCTTGATCTCTGGTGAGGCTATTCCTCTAACCCCTTTTTGTTGTAGTTATTCAAGAATGTCATGGCTATTCTTGGCCCCTGTAATTCTAAATACAGTTTAGAATTGATTTGTAGAGTTTTACTAACACCCAGGTAGGGTTTTGTTTGATTACATTGAACCACAGATCAATTTGGAGACAATATTCTATCTATTTGTTTAGGTTTTCTTTAGATTTTTAATTTCTTCCAAAGTTTATAATTTTCTCCATAAGTATCTTGCATAGTTTTGCTGAAGGTATTTCTAGGTGTGTCATGTTTTTATGCAATATATCCATAAATAGCATTATTTTTTATTTATTTAATTTTTTTTTTTTACTGATCTCACTACTTACATAGTCCTATGGTCCTATCAGATGCAAATACGACAGTATTTTTTTCCTTCTTTGAATCTCTCTCTCTTTTTTTTTTTTTTGCCATGCTTGCTAAGATTTCCAGAAGGATCAAAAGTAAGATAGAAAAAGCGTATATTGAGCAAAGGGGCATCTGGGTGGCTCAATAGATTAAGCATCTGACTCAATCTCAGCTCAGGTCTTGATCTCAGGGTTGTGAGTTTAAGCCCCCTGTTGGGCTTCATGCTGGGTGTGGATCCTGCCTGAAAAAGATACATACGTGTGTGTGTGTGTGTGTGTGTGTGTGTGTATGTGTATGTGTGTATATCTTTTATATAAAGATACACACACACACACACACACACACACACACACATATACATGGACCAAAATATGCTCATGGACCTAAATCAAAAATAATAATAATAGAAAATATTTTGAACTGAATAATAAGGAGAATAATACCAGAAGTTGTGAGGTGCGGCCATAGCAATATTTTTTTTAAAGTTTATTTATTTATTTTGAGAGACACAGACAGCGCGAGTGGGGGGTAGGGCAGAGAGAGAGGGAGACAGAGAATCTCAAGCAGGCTCCCCAATGACAGTGCAAGCACCACGCGGGGGCTCAGACCCATGAAACTGAGATCATGACCTGAGCTGAAACCAAGAGTCAGACACTTAACTAACTGAGCCACCCAG